ACGACTACAGCTACTACAACTGCCGCTACGACAGCTACAGCTTCTGCTACGAGGTAGCTGTAGTGGCAGTAGACGGATATGCCGCTGCTGCTGCTGCTGCTGCTACTACTACTACTACTACTACTACGACTAACTACACTCATAGTAATATTAGTATGTATACAATACTAACGGCAATAAGAACACTAGTAGAAATACTGGCAATGATAACAACCAGAATGACAGTAGGAATATTAGATAATGATACTACTAAGATCAGTTCTAGTAGGAACAACGATAACAACCATATAAACCGTCGTTTAAGAATCTAAAAAACCCTCAAAACCCGAAGCACCCTAAAACCCTCAAAACCCTAAAAACCCTCAAAACCTTACAACCCTATCTAGGGCCGCTGGTTCTTGGCGTTACCAGGCGACCAGCCCGAGCTCGCCGAGCGCGTTCGCGAGGCGGGCGCGGTGCCGGCAGCCAAGAAAGCCAAGAAGGCCCAGCGACCCGGCTCTGGGATCTTAGGGTTTCATGGCTTCGGGTTTAGAGTTTCTAGGATTTTGGGGTCTTAGGGTTTCATGCCTTAGGGTTTAGAGTTTCTAGGATTTTGGGGTTTTAGGGTTTGAGGATTTGGGGGGATGTGGGTGATGGATGTTGAAGTTGAGAGTTCAGGGGCGTCGTGATCAGAGCAACGTCAAGAACGCTTCGTCTGAGACTGCTTCTTGTCGCCCTCCCAGTGGCAGCAATGGAAGTAGGCGTTGCAGTAGCAGTAGAAGCAGCAGTAGCGGAAGCGGTTTGAGTAGCATAAGTGGTGGTGATGGTGATGGTCCTCGTTGTTGCGGTGGTGCTAACAGTGCCAAGTTTCATCACAATGGTGTTTGTACTGACAGCAGCAGAAAGTGGACTAACAGCAACAGTATTCTTCGCGCTGACGATGATATGTGGTGTGAGAAACGGTCGGCCCAAGCCATGCTTTCTTGATACCATCACACAGACCGGAGTACGTAGAAAGCCTGAAGTGCATCCCGTTCCCATTGGCCAGGCTTCCGGCAAAGTCGTGCAGCCATCTGCATCTTCCGGGACGGTTCTATACTCCAAGGCCTCTAAGTCGAGAGCCCCGAATTTGCAGACCAGTCACTGACGTCTCCTGACAGGGTGCGCTCTGCACTCGCTTCCGACAGAAGGAAGCCTCGGCCGAGAGGCCGCCCGTTTTCCTAAGTTTCCACATGGGGGTTTAAAAGAAAAGGGGACCCTAATGTAGTACCCTAAATAGTAGGATCCTTATTATAAGGACCCCAGAATAAGGTACCCTTAATGTTCGGAAACTCCCACATCTTCTTGCCCAAGCAGAGGCTGGCGGAGGCCGCAGAGCTTCTGCGATCTGGAGGCCACCTCGAGGCCCGACACAGGGGGAAGTGAGCCTATGGGAGCTGCATTTTCAGCTCTCCACTGTCAGGAGACGCTCAGTTACACAACTGCCTTGCGAAACTGCCACGGGCCGAGTCCAGTCTGGTTTCCGGTGACAGGTGGGTACTCGCAGAGCTCAGGTGAGCACGGCCATCACTGGGAATGGGTGCAGAGCCTAAGTTTTCGGCAGCTTCCTTCGGGCTGTGTTTGGCGCGTAGTGCGAATGCCAGGCACTGAGCCTCCTGGGAGAGATGACGGGGCGAAGCGCATGGGCCCCAAGCTTCGCAGTGTCTCCTCCTCTCGAAGCCACATGGCCCGCAGAGCATTTACAGCTTACGCATGGCACCTGAAGCAGGCAAGACGAAGCAGAGCGACTGACACTGCAATCTCGTTACGTTGCAGCAGAGAGATTTGGGCGTTGTGGTTTGTGTGAAATGTGTCTCCGAGCGTTGCCCTGGGGTTCATTATGCAGTAATCAAAATCCTGTCACATATGGCCTCGGCACCCGTGCAATGGGAGCCTCGCTATGCACAGACGCTTGGGCCCCGTGGCCAACAAGAGCCTGCAGGCAGGCAGGTCCTTGCTGACGAAGCAGACATATTATTTTGGGGATTCCTCATTAGAATTACACTATAAAGGACCCCCAAAAGCCCCTTTTGGCACCCTGCTTTGCAGGCTTCTCGATGCCTCGCGACACTGGTTCTGGCCAGCCTTGATTAGCGCATGTCTTGGCTGGCGAGCGTACGGTGGGACGTTGGCTCCTGGGCAAAAGATGCCGTTGCAACCAGATGATTTACTTCCCGCCCTAAGTGATCTGCGAAGCGGCCGTCCGCTAACACATTCACAGCCCCGAAGATTCCCCCTGATCGTTTCCCGAAACCCCAAACCCCAAACCCCAAACCCTGTGAACTCCAAAGTTTTTCCCTGTCAGCTCTCTGCCTCTCAGCTCTCCTCCTCAGGGTCGGGCGCAAACGCTTGAAGCTGTTCCTGGCGATGCTCGACCGCCGAAGGCGTGGTTTAGGGTTTAGACTGTGCTGCATCGCTGGTCTCTTCGAAATCGACTTGGAAGCCTGATGCCCCTGACAAGGTCGAAGAGGCCCCTCCCAGCGGATCTTGCCAGCGCCCTGTTCATATCCTGGACATGATCTCCTTGGAGCCATCAAGCGCTGATCTGCTATCAAGTCTGGATTTTGTTCAGGCTTGGATGCTGCGAACGGTGTGCCGTCAAATGCAAGACTGGCTCAGCGAAAAGGCCATGTTGACCCGAATGCCGTCCAAGCCGGACATGCAGGTGAAGATCTCCGAGGACAGTCGGAACTTGGCCCCAACCGCCAAAATATTTGTGAGTGTCCTGGCCTTTCCTCAACTCTTGGAGCAAGCGGATTGTGCCGGGCAGACGCTGCTTATGCGCGCAGCCCATCTCGGAATCCCCAGGCTCTGCAGGGCCCTGCTGGCTGCCAAAGCTGCAGTGGATGCACGTGGGGGCAACGGATGGACGGCCCTTCACTATGCGGCCACCGGCAAGTCCTCAGAGACGTGCCGGCTGTTGTTGGACCACGGTGCCGACGTAGAAGCACGTTCACGTGATGGTCACACGCCCTTCTACTACGCCTATCGCGCTGGCGATGAGAAGTCGATCATGGAGGTGCTCCATGCTCGAGGGGCGAGGCCCGACCTGAGGTCGCAGAATGCCTGCGGGACCGCTGACTGTGGCTACCTGAGGTATTCGACAAAACAGGACCATACTACCACGAGCATAGGATTCGGCGGCATGTCATGCATCGTACAGACTTCCTTTTTGGGATGTTTGCACATCCACACAGATACGCCTATGCATTGGTATGTACTTGCATTGACATCTGTATGTACATGCATAGAGTACATGACTGCAACTATGCACGTGCACGTGCATTCACGGAATGCCACGCAATATTTCTGAAACGAAGTAGCAGAACATGATGCCAATTCACATCACACCACGCAGGAAGCAGTCTGCATCTCAATACACAGGCATGGAACATGCCACTAGCAAGACAAACTTGGTCAAGGAGACAGTTCGAGCTTGTTGTGCAGACCATTTCCGATGCCAGCATTCATCGATACACCATGCTCGACGTTTCTAGCTTCGCAGAACTGTTGCGACAAGCTTGAACTGGCACGAAAAACATGAGTTTACACGATCACGAAGGAACAAATTTGTATGTAGGTCTGCATGCATACTACCGTCTTTCCAATCCATACCTTGTTGCCCCGACTGGATCACGTCACATTGCACCCTGCCTTGCGTCCAGCCCTAAAGCCAAAGCCTTACACCGAGGTAGAGCAGGATGTGGTGACCTTCAATGTGGCCGTCGCAGTGTCGTCCTCGGCGCCCTCGAAGGTCGAGCAGAGGCTAGTTTTTCCAACAACACAGAGCCTGCCAATCAGAGAGAGATTGAGTCAATGTACTGTCAAAGCCGAAAGGTCGAGTTGAGAAAGGTAGCTGTTGGTAACGTTAGTACCAATATGAAGACTAGCCACAAGAATGCTGACGCGAATGTTCACAACAGTACCTACATGTAAGAACAAGGCGGCTCAGCGTGATCTTAAGCTTCACATAGCGAGGCACTGGGTCGAGGCCAGCAGTGGGAGCGATCCCTTTGCTTGTTCGGCACCGAGATCCGTGTCGCCGAGTCGAGTCAGGGGCTGCTTGTCCAATCCGACCCCCTCCGAAGATCTCCGAAGCTTCGAGTGATTTCGGGGGGTCCCTTATTATCTTTATACGTATATTATGCCCCTTATTATATTCATAGTATATTTTACCCCTTACTATATTTATGGTATATTATACCCCCAAACCCTATTCCTAATTAGTAAGTGGCTACGGCATCTGAAGAAACCGAGGCTCGACGGCATGCCAGCTGCAGACATCGAGCCTGACTTCGAGACCTACCAGGTCCGGCTCGTATGTGAGAGAATAAGCATAATGGTATTATTAATATTACTAGTACTAGTAGTGATATTCATCATGATGATAACGATAATAATGTGAGCAAAAGTTCTGAGCAGGGGAGCCTGCCAGGTGCTCATGGTCATGAAGAGCTCATGAACATCCATATATCTTCAACCACAAATTCAAGAGCCCTAAACCCAAAACCCTAAACCCAAAACCCTAAACCACAAATTCAAGAGCCCTGAACCCTAAACCCTAAACCCTAAACCACAAATTCAAAGATCAGAATCACCTTCCTGAGTCCTCAGATCTCAGGCGCTGTCCCTGGCCTGCAGTCGAAACGGCGAGTGGGAGAAGGCCTGGCTCTTCGGTCCCGGGCACTTCTGCCAGGAGATGATAGCACCGCATAGGGTTTAGGGTTCAGGGTTTAGGGTTTAGGGTTTAGGGGGTTTAGAGGGTTTAGAGGGTTTAGAGGGTTTAGAGGGTTTAGAGGGTTTAGAGGGTTTAGGGGGTTTAGAGGGTTTAGCGGGTTTAGAGGGTTTAGAGGGTTTGGAGGGTTCAGAGGGTTTAGAGGGTTTAGAGGGTTTAGAGGGTTTAGAGGGTTTAGAGGGTTTAGGGTTTAGGGAGATGATAGGTAGACAGATGGGTAGACAGTGGACAGATACACGCAGATGCAGATGTAGCTAGGCAGCTCCCCACCTACCAGATTGAATTTATACTATATACACTCGGGCTGCGATGATGATCAACAAGCATCATGAGCCTCAGCCCTGCCGCAATAAGGAAAGCACATTGCTTACCCTAGATCCTTCTTACGGCAACTTAAGCTAAGTCCGGGATTACCAGGCCCTCACCTTCTTGGCCACGGCGCAAGAGCTGGAGCCCCGGAGCCCTGAAACTTGAGATTCCGGGGAGCTTGAGAGGGCACCTGTCCACAGAGGCTCGGGGTGGCAAACAGCGAGTCCTGGCACATCGGCATGATGGCCTGTGTCGATGGCTGAGACAAGGGAAGGCGAGGGAGCAAGAGAGAGAGGAGCTAGGCCCTGCACCTCTCGCAAGCAAGCGAGCAAGACAGAGCACGCGACACGTGCCCGCAAAAGGAAGAACGAGGAGAGACAGGCTTATCGGGGATATTCCTACGTGTGCCTCCTCTCCCACATCCGAAAAATGGACTGAGTGATAAGCCCATCGAAAGAAAACAACGGGGAGACAGACAGAGAGAGACAGAGCGAAAGATGTGTACTATGTGTCCATTGTTCATTGATTATCTTTTCTTGGTGAGGGGAGTCTCCCTTGTCGGTCAGCTTCTAGACTACCTTCCTGGCAAATCTGCCACGGAAGCTTTTGCAGAGACACAGCCCCATAACATACGGGGAGGGGGGTTGCTCCCCCTTCCTCTACCCTGGTTCGGAGGGAGAGCAGAAGGTGAAGAGGATGAAAGTTGTGGCGCTGTGAGGGGCCATAGAGTAGGGGAGGGATCCTGCCTTTTCAACAGGAACAACAGCGGATCACTCTATCTCTGTACAGCAACCTGCATGCTTGTGCATCCCTGCATCCCAGCATCCATGCATCAGCCCGTCCTTCCCTCCCTCCCTCCCTCCCTCCCTCCATACATACATACATACATACATACATACATACATACATACATACGTGCATACATACGTGCTTCCATGAGTACATGATTGTTTATGCCTACACAGAGCCCGACTGGATGTTTCTGCTTCTGTGAGAGCTCATCAACGCCAGTTGTGGTTCTTGCTTCATTTCCTGCCCATGCTTAGGCCGGAGCTGGTGCCTGGGAGGTCCCTCCCGTTTCTTGCTTTGGTGTTTTAGGGTTTTTGGGATTTGGCAGAGTTGCCTTTGCATGGGATACGCTGTTGGCGGGGTAAAGGATTTGCAAATTGGTATCTGGGGCTTCAGTCTGCAGGGGGTGGGGGGGTAGTGGTTCAGATTTTAGGGTCTTTAGGCCCTTTAGGCTTTGCGCTGTAGTTACTTCTGACTAATCCTTAGGCCCCTAGGGCTCCTTGTTATACCGTTACTTATGGTATAACTTACTTCACACCATCGTCTAATTGATTCAGGGTGACTGTTCTTTCTCTTCTCTCCTGGGTTCAGGGATCGGAGCTTTGAGACCTTGACGGCCTAGGCAACTTGGGTGTTTTTCAATCGGGTTTTGGTCTTGAGCAATCCAAGGAGTTCCTGAATTTCATCCCATGTGGATTTGTGTAGAAGTATGGTTTCGATAGATCAGCTCCCTGCGAACAAAGCCCTACACCCTAAACCCTAAACCCTAAACCCTAAACCCTAAACCCTAAACCCTAAGCCCTAAGCCCTAAACGCAGCTTCGTATGTGCAGGCAACCCTGGAGATGCTGGAGTGCGCGGGCACCCCGCAGTCTCCGCCACCTTACAGCAATGTGGGAGGGGAGTTTCCGAAAGCAAGGGGGCACCTTATTTAGGGTTCCTTATGATAAGGATCATCTTATTTTGGGTTCCTTATGATAAGGATCATACTACTTAGGGTATTATATTAGGGTCCCCTATTTTCGGAACCTCCATGTTCTTAGCGGAAGCTGCGCGGCAGCCGCGTACCTCGTGCCAACCAGGAAAGATGTCTCTCGCGATCTCATGTGCTACGGCGTGGGGTTGCGTGAAACTCAGAGCTCGCGCTGATGAATGCACTCCTGGCATGCCGGCTTTGAAGTCGCAGACCTTTGTTTGGAGGTATGCTTGTATGGAGGCAGGCCGCTGGCCACAGTGTCTGTCCCTGCTGGAGCAGATGCGCTTAGAGGAGGCCGGTCGTGACGCTGTACCCTAGCCAGAGTCAAGTGTAGGACTGGGTGACGGCCCTTAGTTCAACCCCCCGGAATCTGCTTCGGTTGCTTGGAGTCAGGTCGAACCCGACAGCATTGCACTGGCCTGTGCAGCTCAAGCCTGCCGCGATGGCAGGCCGGCCGTTCTCCGGAAACTTCGTAAGCCTCGCAACCTTAGTAGCCCTCGCTTGCGGGCGAGGGCTTTCGGTCGCTGGTCTGAGGAACAGGCAGGCTGCGGATGAGATCCAGGACGAGATGCCAGGGTCCTCAAGCGTCCGTTTATGCACATTGCAGTGGCACGGTGTTTAAACTGAGGCGCCAGCGCAAGCTCGACTACAACGTAGCGGAGGCAGAGTGCTGCAGCAGCAGCTGCATGTTCACGAGCGATGACCCACGAGGAGGAAGAGGAGTAGGAGGGAGCAAGAGGAGGAACGACGGCTGCAACAAGCCGACAATCTTAGCGCTGCCTCGCGCCAGGTCCTGAACGAGGCCACCCTCGCCGTAGACTTCCCCGAGGCAAGGCGGAGACTGAGCCACCTGGAAAATAATCGTCCAAAGGATACGGTCTTCGCAGAACTTCTTTCCGCAGCGCTCATTCAATCGTTCATGTCGCTGATGAGGATGACTTGTCAACTCATCTTGCATTTGACAGGTACGAAGTCCAGTGCCCTTGGGAGCTTTGAGGTTTGACCCTCGATTTTCCACGGAACCCCATTGCAGCCTTTGCAGCCTCGCTCCGAAGACCCAAAGAACAGTGAGGCCCATGGCGCAGAAGGAGGTGCAGCTCTTCAAGTGGATCAGGCCATTGGATGCCTGAATGTGCTTTTCCTCGAGGAACTCAAATCGCTGATTTCGCTGGCATGCGCGTGGCTCCTTCTTGCACAATCCGAAGACGTAGCGCAGGCAGCGAGCCACTCCCGGAGACGTGCAGTCCGTGATCAAGGTCCCCAGATAAAGTTGAAAGCTACAGCTGCGCTTTCGAACAAAGCAGTGAGTTTCCGCAGGTGATCGAAGAGTTTGCAGAGGAGCGTCTCCTATCCCTATCCCCATTCGGGTTTTAGGGTTTAGGGTTTAGGGCTCCTCCTCTGCTCGTAGACGCCGGAACTTTCCCCTGGGCAGGAGCGGAGTTGGCTGAAGATCCAGGGGGAGCAGAAGAAAGAGCTCCTGGAGGTTCCGAAGGGCCCTTTTTGAGACAGAAGCCTCATATAACTCGAAGAGGGTCTTGAGGCCCCTTCTGCTATCATTAGAATAAGGAACCCCCCAAACCCTATAGAAATTATTATGGCCCCAACCGCGAAACCCTTTTTGAGACCCCCTGGAGTGAGACGTGAGATCCTGAGAATCGAGGCGACCCTGCGGCCCGAGGACCGCATCGTTGAGTTTGGCTGTCGGCACCTCGAGCTCGAGTGCGCCTTGGAAGACTCGGATGGATGTGATCTCACAGAGCTTCCGAGGTTACGTCGGCTACTCCTCCATGGTCATGGCGCAGCGATTGCGCGAACTCGGCGGGCGCGGCAGCGCGCTGCGCCGAGATGTCTTGTTGGAGAAAGAGCAATGAAGCATCCAGGCTTCGGACGAGTACAGGATGTCGAGTCCTGAGCAAAGGTCACCACTTGCGAAGTGGATGCGGCCAATGCGTACATCGCCCGTGGGGGTCGCAGAGCTTCAGGTGACACGGTTTCAAGACTCTTGTAGGTTTCATAGTAACACTTGTATAACAGTATCCCTTATAGTAACGGCATTTCGTATCCTTCGTAGTAACGATTGAAGACATCGGTGCAGAGAGCCACGGGACTTTCCGGGAGGGCCAGACTGCATGGCACCAAAGCCCATCGGGGCTAGACAAGAAGGCCTCCAGCTTCGAGAATTCTCGAGAGATCCTTCGCTTGAATTTGCAGAGAATCGATAGCAGCAGCCTTCCGCATGGCCGCGGCATGTGACCCCAGGTGGTGTGCTGCAGTTTGCTGGGGTGGAGGGGGAAGTCCAGGTGCGGGTGGGGTGCTGCTGCCATGTTTGGTGTCAGGGTGAAGATCAGGATATTTCTGGGCAGTGCCCCTGCAACCAAAATGCAATGCTGTTGAGCGGGTTTTTGGGCTGCATTGCAGGTGTGCCTGCGACTGGGTGGCCACTGGGCAGCTGGGCACCATTGACTTCCTGCTCCTGGACACTGGGTAGTTCTTTTTCACCGCGCTGCCACATGTCGCCCGACAAGCGAGAGCTGCAGGACCATCGGGGCACGATCTACCATGAGGCACGTGCGGCGCGTGGCCCCTTTTTTTGTGCAGTGCAAGAGGTTGTGGCACCTCCTGTCACGAGGACCTTCACGCGGCTGAACCTAGCCTGTCCGAGACGGCTCCATGCCGAGTTGTTGATGGCTGGCTGTCGCATTCTCTTCCCGAAAAGTGGGCTCCTGTATGAGTTTACGTCCGAGGCTATCGTTTTTGCAGATAACGTACTGTACCCGGGCGCTCCGCGCGAGACCCAGGGAAAGAGGTTCACGCTTGTCGCTGCCAAACGGTGCAGCCGCATTATTGCGCCAGGTTGTTTTTAAATTACATCGACGTCCAGGGCTATGCCATAGAAATCCACGAGCTCAAGGCCCGCTCGACAGGGAAGTCATGGGATTTTCAGATGAGCTCGGCTGTTGCAGCCCTCAGCCCCTAGATCAAACGGCGATTTGCGAACTCTGTTTGCGTTAATTTGCCGTGGCAGATACCGTAAAAAGAGCAAGCTGGGCAAGTTAGCAAAGTCTCGTGACGGGCAGGAGTTCAAGCGACCGGACCTGGATGACTGGGTTCCTGCCTCGGTTGGGTAGTTCTCATCCCGTTATTGATTCCCTGCTGAGCTGTCGATAGCCGCCAGGTGGTGATTTGCAAGCCACCCCCTCCCGAGGAGCGCAAGGAGATGCTAAAGTCTCAGGCATTCGCAGTGCTCTGAACTGGGGCTCCTTCTGCAAAAACGAGTGATGCACTTCCGGGGAACCCAACCGATGACTTGATCCGTAACGTCAGCCTCCCTAAACCCCCAAACCCCTAAACCCTAAACCCTAAACCCTCAACCCCGAACCCTATAAA